AAAAAAAAAAAAAAAAAAAAAAAAAAACATTATTTTAACCTGATCAGGAACAACCCCAGCATGGCAACATAAACATATTTCCAAAAACCCTTCTTCCTGTTGTTGTAGCTGAAGAAAATATATGCAAAGAAAATTACTGAAGTCAGTAAAATTTCGAATAGCGCATAAAGCCATAAAAGGTGAGTTCTAATATACTTTCACAACTATTAGAACACTGATTGAAGAATTTTCGTACATTCTGCTAGCAGCAACAGCAGCTGAGAAGTTAAACATAGGAAGAGAACTAATAATGAAACGGAGTTCCTACACAGCAGGAAAATCCAGGTCACTGAAGTTGTAAAAGAAAGTCGATCATGAAGTTAAATGCTGCTCGGTTTTATGCTCTGAAACCATACCTTGTGTGGAAGTTTAGAATAAAGCAAAACAAATGAGAAAACCGGAATGATATAGAGCAGAACCCTTCTATCAAGAAAAACACCAAGCTGCAACAATGGTATAACAGATTGAAATTAGGTGGAATAAAGTTTAACAAAAATTAGGTTTCCTTGTATTTATATTTTTCAGGATAGAACTAAAATTGTAGCTTTCTTGATCAACAGAGTCAGATATCTCTTGAATACAAAACAATTAAAGAACCTATATCTTCAGAACCTTGCACTTTCTATTTTTTATACAAACTTACTGCTCAGAAATAAAGAGATGAGGTGGAGCAATATACAGTAATTTGCAACCTTATGGAAACAAAAAATTAATTTCTACATGCAATAAGCTTAAAAAAAAAAAGTATTCGGTTTTTTCAATTGAAAAGAGATTGTTTCAGGTCCAGTGTTCGACATATAAAACTACTTCAGACAGTTACCATTCTTAGCAAAACTTCACAAAATAAACTATGCACCGTTAGAATCGGTCTTACACTCACCGCAAACAGAGGATACGCTGCCAGCAATGAACGGGGAAGTGCTGATGTGAAGTACCAGTGAAAAGCATGGGTCTGAAGAAGATATATTAAGGAAGAAGAAAGAAATTCAAATACACAACAAAAAAGAAAAAATGTAATGCACAAAAACAAAAAGATATTTTAGATACACTTATATAAGATAAATCATGAAAACAGAGAAAGATATATTAAGCATCTCCTAGAACAATACATGTTGAAATATGTAAAAGAATGGAAGGATACACCCCATTCAGAACTCTTGTTCAAAACCGAGTTGAACCAGAAAACCTCAAACTCAGGCCATAACAATCTTCTCCATGGGATTGAATCTACGAACACTGTAAGACCTGTAATGTGTGACCGTAATAATTGATATCATGAGATAACAATATCTGAAGGCATAAAAAATGTACAAATAGTACGGTCATGACACAAACCTATGCAAAACAAAGCAGCTATCCCGCAAGATAATACAGCTTTCGGCAATGAAATTGATCTAGACTGCAGTTGATTAAGAAGAAGACTTGGTTAAGAGAAATGAACAATATCAGCTTATAGCGAGCATTCAGAATTTAGAAACATAATGCACATCTGAAGATCAGAAAGCATAATACTTTAAACAGGCAGATAACCATTAAACAACTTTCTCACGAGCAAAATATCATCTAAGACAAGCTAGAGATAGAGATGAACAGCAAATTAAAAGCAAGTAATCTACGATTAAACTCACATACCAGCAATAGCTCTAGGCCCAGAGGCGCAGCAAGTAACAAGATATCACATCTGAAGATAGTGGTGGCCAAAACCTGACCAATAAAAACACAGATCATTTGGTCATTGTGAAGTGAAAAAGATGCAATGATGGACAAATAATGCTTCTCTCAGTATATTTGTTTCTCTTCTGATTAAGAATGGGAAAAAGCGTACCAAAGAATTTAATGCTGCATATAAACTTCGCTTAAACCAATACCCATAGGCCATGTTTACTACAAGGAGCAAATCAAGGTAACATGAGATATAAAAAAGAAAGATCTGCATCCTTTCTATGTTCAGTCGAAGATCTATTAAAATTAAAGCTATATAGTAGATATACAAATTGCAATGAGTAAAAGGAAATGTAGGAGCAACAACGTAGGAGATAGAATAGAAATCTGAAGTTATTAGGAGAACGAAAAAAGATAAAAAGCCACTTTTTTTTATCGAAAGTGCAACAAGGACACTTCGCACTAACACTATCTTACCAAGACCAAATGCCAATATGTTAGGAAGGGGGCGCGTGCAGTAGAACAACATGTGAAACTGAATGGCAGTCAAAATTACAAAAAATGCTTCAACTTGAGATCCAAAATTCTTCCTGATCTGTTTAAATTTTGGGCAACTTTACGTCAATGGCCATAAAGTGACACTAAATAAGGGCAGTACGAATACAAACTTTGAAGTCAGTAAATTCTGGAAGTGTGGGCATTAGACGAAAAAAAAAATAAAAAAAATTGAAGACGGTAATTCTGGGACTGCGGACATCAGATATAAAAATCACAGTAGAAGTATTTCAAGCATCATCAGAAATTAATAGGACAAAGCATGCATCTTCCTTAAAATATATAAAAACAAAGCCCGAAAACAGAAATAAATATATACAAAAAACTAATCATAGACAAAAACAAAGAAAAAAAGCAAGAAACTGAAAAGATCTAGGAAACCAAACAGAGTAAAGCATCCAAGCGTAGAACAATGACACGACTTAATCAATGGATAAACACTTTCGATTTTCCTTCTAGCATAACCAACTTCGAGGATACAAAGCAATATGTTGCATTATCAGGTAAATCGGTAAATTTTGAATCACATAGGTGTGTCATTGGTCACTAAAGCACGATCATTACATATACACGAGACAATAAGAACAAAATTGGGTGATAAAAAAGTATGTACCAAGTTTGTACCTGAATTCGGAAGAATCGCAGTGTGGACAAGATGATACAACCTAACATCACACGAACTGGAGAAAAGCAAATTATATAATGAATTTTCATTGACAGCGTGGAATTCCAAATATGCATAAAAAATGATCGCAGCATGAAGTACTATGGTTGTACACCAGTCAGTTCAAACATATTTCGCAGGGAATCCCAATTCTAACATAGGAATGCATGCACATCTCTCATGA